GAGGCCAGCTCAGCCCACCAGGGGGCAGGGCTGGCTGGCATGTGGTGCTGGGGGATTGAACCGCGGTCCCTGATGCTTTTTTTGCTAAGCTTGTTCTAAGTAGGTGCTTTAGACCACTGAGCCATCTCTCCAGCCCCTGTACAAAAATTTTCTTGCCTTTCTCAACATCATCCATTTTTAAACCTGCTGCAGCTTCCGCGCTGGGTGGTCACCAGTCTTCCCTCGTTACCACAAGGAAAGTTCTAGTGCAGAAGCCTGATGTCCCACTCTCTAGGGTCTCTCATTTTAAGATGTTCTGAATCTGGTAAAGAGGAAGACTTGCAAAGCAATGATAGTATGGTAGAAACACGAAAACAATTCGATCAACCAGGTTGTGGAAACAAACAGAAGAGGATCCTTAAGTTTGTGAAGGTAGGTGTACATTGAAAGTGAGGAAAATTTAGATAAAAAAGGAAAAAATGGGGGAAGAGGAACATTCTAGATGGAGGGAATGCCATCAGCAAAGGTATGATGTTTCAAAAGTAGCCACCACATTAAAAGAATGATCAGTGGTGTCCACCATGTCGGAAGAATGGTCAGTGGTGGTCACCATGTTGGAAGAATGGTCAATGGAAGCCACCATGTTGGAGGAATGGGCAATGATGGCCACCATGTTGGAGGAATGGTCAATGGTGGCCACCATGTTGGAAAAATGATCAATGGTCTTTTGGGTCTAAAAGAACATGGGAGATTATGGAAAGCTGAACAAACAACTGTTGCTGAAAATTGTTTCTGAATTAAAAAATTCCCTATATATATTTTTTTATTCAATGAAAATTTACTGAGTTCTTATAAGTATAAGGGAGGGATCATGCTTTTCTTATTTTTAATTTATCTTTTGTGTGTGTGTGTGGCACCAGGGATCACACTCGGGATCTAGCACCTTCCAGGCAGGTGCTTATACCGCTGAGCCATATCCCTGGCCCCGTCTTTCTATTTTTTGTACCTCTGATGCTAGGTAATTGGGATTATACTTTTCCAGGGTGAGAGATGGCCTAGATAATATGTTAACAACTATGCTCTTGTTGTTTTTTAAAGCTTATATCTGAAATTTTACTCTCCTAAGAAAAGCTTAAAAAGTTAATTTAGAGCCAGGTAGACAGCTCAGTAGAATAAGTGCTTGCTTGGCAAGCACAGGGTCCTGAGTTCAATCCCTGGTACCACAAAATAAATAAATAAATAAAGTTAATTTATTTTATTTTCTTTTTTTTTGTGGTACCGGGGATTGAACTCAGGACCCTGGGCTTGCCAGGCAAGAACTTCTTCTATTGAGCTATCTCCCTGGCCCAGTTAATTTAAATATCCTTAAGAAAATGTTCTCAAAAGATCAAAAGAATTGGGGCTGGTGAGATGGCTCAGTGGTCTAAAGCACCTACTTAGAACAAGCTAAGCTAAGCCAAGCCAAGCACAGGGAGCACGGTTCAATCCCCCAGCACCACATGCCAGCCAGCCCTGCCCCCTGGTGGGCTGAGCTGGCCACACACTAAATAAATAAATAAATAAATAAATA